CCGTAAAGTGCTCGACTTCGCGTGCAGGTCGTCGGGCTACCGAAGCGGGGGTGCCATCCCCTCTGCAGAGGATCAAAATTGTGATGGCATATCTTCGGATCATCCTCAGGGGTGTTTCCCAGACCGTCGCCAATAGCCCATCGTGCAGCTCTAGTGCGACGTAAATTAACTACAACTACAACCTAAAACTTTTTGCCTTGAAATAGTAAAACTTCGTTATTGCATGACTGTAACTAACATTGGAATGCATGAACCAATAACAAGTTACATGAAATTTATCTTAATTTCAATAACTGTGAAGCAATATCCGTTGATTGCAAAACCCTGGTTTTAATTAATATTCTACAAAATTGGTCATTCCCGTTATATCCACAGAACGAAAGCCGATCTTGCACATTATTGTTCTCTATGTCAATTAAGCATTAATTAGACGAAATTTTTTAACCGACTGTAAACTAATTAAATAAATAGTCCCAAACTTGATTAAACACTTCATTGACTTCAAAAAATGTAAAGATGGTAACCGAAATTTCAAGCATTAAAAATAGGCGCCCATTTTTAAGAGTTGTCAGATATGAATGAAGAAAACAAAAGTGATATAAAACTTAGAACGTAAAGCTGGCATCGAAAAAAATATAAATAAAACTAGAAAAAAATACGGTAGCCGAGAGGGAAACCGAAAAATAAATAACAATAGAAAAAGGAAAAAAAATACAACTTACTACATCTTTATATAATATATTTATTAACAACTTTTTACATCTTTATATATTTTTCTGGTTCACTCAGTTTTCATTCAGTCGGGTACCTCAGTTTTCTGATAACGGACTATATTCAGTTTTTAAAACACGTGATGTTGCTATTTCTAATACCGCTGGCCAAAGATACCAGCAAGCCTGCTTGACGAAACCAAGCGAATTTAAAGCAGAGGTTGCATTTTTAGTGTTTCAGTGACGCAATCTATGTCAAAAAATACGACGTCAGCCACATGCTCGTCACAGCCCGTTTATAGGGCGGACCCAGTCATGCATCCATTTACTCAACCACAGATAGTAATTTTGACCTAAAATAGAGAGCGATTAATATCTAATTCAGTGCCTCCAAAGGTGATTCGTTATGGGAATATGGAAGACTTTGTGATCTGACAGATTGAACGTGCACCAGTTACTATTTATTACACGGGGAGTCTTTGACATGCGGGGATAGAACTCACGACTTCTTGGACATGGGTCCAACGCCCTACCAACCCGGATACTCGGCCCTAAGAAACGTGTAACTCTGGCCATTTCTGGTTTTATGTGTCAATGAATTTCAACCGACCAACTAAAAACTAGTTTTCACAGCTTTAGTTAAGTATCTTGTAAAGTAACATAGAATCAGAATATTACTCTCATTAAGTTGTAAAATGTAAAATTCTGCAATTCCACGTCATACAGTTATAATTAATTAGAATAGCTTTGTGACGTTGGGACAAGTACAATGCAACATGAAGTTTGAAATAGCTTATACGGGAAACGACATTTTTATGAAGGTTTATACAATATTTATCCTGGTTAATCCATTTATGCGTGTTTAACAGAAATTATGTAATATTTCTGATAACACCATCATATCGTGAAATTACACTAAGAATGTATTTTCTCTAAAATAGAAATATACATACACTACCCGACAATAATGGAAAAAAACACTTTCAGTTTCAAAACATTTCTGAAGAAATACTTAAGAGGATTATTTAGAGATGTTTGTTCATGCCATTTTTTTAATACTTATCAATAAAGTTCTAAGTTTTCAACGATGTGAGAAATCGGTAATAAATAACGAAAAAAAAACAAGTATTTCTGAACATCTATGCCCGAAAATATATCAATAAGCTTGGAACTTGTATAGACTACTTTTTTTTTTGTTGCTATTTTCAATAATTGCCGAAAAGTTAGTAAATCTGGCTAAAATGTTCATGGAAAAATGGGCACTATTATTTAAAAAAAAAACTAATTTTCCTATCTCATGTTTTATTTTTCATTATAACTGTTTTATTTTTCATATTAAAAATTAAACCGTACTTTCAGAGCTCTTTTTAATTAATTACGAAATTATTTTAAAATTTGAAAAATAAGATAATCGTTAAGATATGAGCTTTTAGGGTCAGACAAACTAGTCGCGCTTTGAAATATAGAATTAAGAAGAACAATAGATATATCCTTTATAAAAAATACAAGAAATCATTAATTGCTACACATTGTTGGAATCTTGGTTATGATTTCAATTTTGGCGATGCAAAAATTATCTCCTCCCCAGTCACATCAGCTCATCTTGATGTCCTGGAATCTTGTTTTATTCATATAAATACTGATTTCCTTCTTAACGACATTAGTTCCTCACCATCCTTTAAATAGCACGATAAAAGACAGTTTACCCTAATTTGCTCCTCTCGGTCACCGTGGTTTTTCTTGTTCTGTTTTTAATTTTTTTTTCTCTCACGGCTACTGACGTTTTTCTAGTTTTTGATTCTCAACTTTATTTTCCATTTTCGTTGGCAACTTTGCGTTCTAAATTTCAAAGGGGTTGCGTTTTATATTACGTTTTCGTTAAAAAAAAATAAAAAATAAAAAAATAAGCAAACACAGGTAGTTAAATTTCTGCAGCTTTTGACTTGGCTCTTTCTCCTTGATATTCTCCTTAAGAATCT